CAATTTGATGAAGTGAGTCTTTAGATTTCTTCATGAGTTTAATAGTCATCTCTCCTGGTGACCTTGGACGTGAATGGTTGTTTTGTGAGTTTTCACACCCTCTAGGCTACTTGTATTGGAACTCATTGTCTCCTTGACTTGAACTTTGACCCTTTGTGTGTTAGGTTTCCTTCTTATCGATTAGTAAGTTTTGTCTATCTCGAAGTGTCTATTGATTGATGGTTCACTGGAATACGACGCAGGATTCTTAAAATTCTCTAGCATTTTTGGTGTTTCCTCTGTTTGATGTTTGGACGCTGTCCTAGTCAAATTGATGTCCGTTCAAGGCCACGATCAGGGCCACCAAGAGAGATAACTATTAAACTCATGAGGAAATCTAAAGACTCACTTCGTCAAATTGAAGTATGCGCTGAATATGTTGCCTAGTAGGGGGCAATGAAAGCTTGGCAAACAAAGTATCCAGCTTAGACAACACAACCACATCAAAATCATCCATTTGAGCTACAAATCTCCTCCACCATATGTGCAACATTGAATTTTGAACTTAGTACACTTGAAAATCACCCTGAATTTTCCTAAAAATTGGCTTGTTTACACACAGTGGTATTCATAACAAAATACTGCTGCAATTCGACAGACATTTTATCAGGTTGGTGAAAATATCTTGAAAAACGTCTGTAGTGTTGGCCAAAAGTGGGATCCATGAAGTGTCTTTTTTATCCCATCTGGGACTTGTCGACCGGTAGATAACTCAATGGTTTCTGGAGCGTTTGGTACTGAATTCGAATGTCAATAAGATTGACACTGCTCATTTGTGAGGAAGTACATCCTGATGATCCGTCTTAAATAGAACGAAAGACAGGTACTTGATTCTACTGCAAGCGATCACCAGACGAGTAACTCTCAGTTGGTAATCTTAATAATATCCAGAAAACCATCAAAGGAGCTCATATGTCAACATGAGGCAGATCGATTAGGTCCGCATATATCGATGAGTAACCATATACATGAGTAAATAGGGTCAAAATATTCCCCAGAAGAATCAAGGATGCATTTTCTAAAGATTTTTGAATTTTTTAAGTTAGGAATGGTAAATTCTTAAGAAAAGTTGCAAATCTACGCCTATCAAATTTTAGATTTGACTTTTGTCTCTCTTTTCCTGTTGGTTAGCTAAATGGCCTGAATTAGTCAATTCACCTTAGGTGTTAGTGAATTTTCATTGTCAACTTCTGAAATCAGATACTACACTAAGTTGTTTCCCAATAAAAAGAAAGCGATAAGATAGATTGTATGGAAACGTATTTTTAGAATGAATCTAGGTCCAACTTGACAGAGCAAAATTGTCCCAAATGTTGCTTTTATGTGAAATGAAATGAAAATTGATCCCATAAGCAGCTAAAGATATAAATGGCTGAGGTTCGAAGTAATATGGATTATGATAAAGGGACATACTCTTTCGTGAAAAAGTTGACAAATACTATTTGTTTAGTTATACAGGTTGATTATCTATACCAGACAATGCTTGACTCATACACATATTGAATTACATTAAATAATTCCAGTTTTCATCATTATCTGATATCAGTGAGGAAACCAGTGAGGACTGGACAGCTATTTCTTTCTGGTTTCAAACTTTTCAGCAGTGTTTACTCACCCAGGTTCGAGTCCGAGACGAGTCTGTAGACTATTCAACCTCTAGAAGCCAACCTAATAGCTCGTGAATTTCAGCTTCTGCCGATTCGTGATATCTATATGGCACCAGAGTAGGAAATGTCATCGCCTAGTGACTGTCCTCCTACCTGACATGGTAGACCACAGTGGTAATGACTTCTTTCAGAACCCCAGAATACTTTTCGTATAAAGTCAGTCGATGGTGAGCATCAGGATAATTAGCAGCTAGACAAAGCAATAAGAAGACGTAATTTGTCTGAATCGTGTTATGTATTTGCGTACAACACATTTCGAACAATCTGATCACACACACGGACTTGTCATAGGAATATATATTTGTGAAAATAACAAAGAGTTAGGAGGTGAGAAAATAGACAAATTAGGTCAAGTTAAAAGGACATATTGAAGGTCAAAATAACAATGAAGATCACTATACCAAAGAAGAGAGCTAATCGTACATCTACACCGGCTGGTATCAAAACAAATTTTACCAAGAAAGGCTTAGTGTGATGACGAATTATTGCTTTGAACGCAGAAAAGTGGTTTAAGCTACCTAATCGCTAGCTAGGGCTTCCGCAGACCTTAGGATACGCCCCCTCCACCCAAACACTTTTTATAGATAGGTTTAAAATATGTGTTAACATCAATTTCATGTCTAATCCCTTCTGTAATGTGTTTCACAATAGAGGAGCTAAGTCTTTTTTTCTCACCATTGATGGGTTCTGGGAATTTTTATTTTCTTCTGAAGCCATTTAGAAAAATACAGTGAAACCCTTACTTCAGTAGAATCCAGCAACTATGCAACAAAGACACATTTGACGAGGAAGAAACAAATTTGACACAAACTCTAGTTGATAACAATTATCCAGATATGTTCATCAGGAGAAATAAAGTAGTCAGAACACAAAGACCCACTCTTCAACTTGACATTAAGAAAGACATGCACATTATGTTACCCTATATGGGTGATCATAGCAGCTTGGTAATTGAGCAGAGATTGAACACTGCGGTTAAAAAGACATTTTATGCAGCTAAAATCAAAATAATTGATAATGTAAAGCCCATATATCCATCTAATCCCTTACAACATGCAAAAACTGATGTCACACCACATCACACTGTAAATGTATGTGTGGCCACACGTACATTGGGAGGACTCATCAATCTTTGCAGGTAAGGGCTTCAGAAGTAAATAAAAATTCCCAGAACCCATCAATGGGGAGAACACAAGACTTAGCTCCTCGATTGTAAAACACATTACAGAAGGGATAAGACATGAAATTGATGTTAACACATCTTTTAAACCTATCTATAAAACGTGTTCGGGTGGAGGAGCGTATCCTAAAGTCTGCGGAAGCCCTAGCTAGCGATTAGGTAGCTTAAACCACTTTTCTGCGTTCAAAGCAATAATTCGTCATCACACTAAGCCTTTCTTGGTAAAATTTGTTTTGATACCAGCCGGTGTAGATGTACGATTAGCTCTCTTCTTTGGTATAGTGATCTTCATTGTTATTTTGACCTTCAGTATGTCCTTTTCACTTGAGCTAATTTGTCTGTTTTCTGACCTCTCAACTCTTTGTTAATTTCATGCATATATTCCTATGACCAGTCTGTATGTATGGTCAGATTGTTCGAAATGTGTTGCGCGAATACAAGATTACACAATTCATAAATGGAACTAATTGTTTTTAATTTAATAAGTAATTATTGATTTGCAGGGACCATATTGGTGAAACGATTGATTACAAGTTAATATCAGTCAGAGAATTGGCAGACGTTGTAGTTCCTTTACCACTGAACGACAATAAAGATGAAGCAGTCTAAACAACTTGTCCCTCTACTTCATGGAATATTTAAAATGATATTTTCCTGTTTGTTGTCATCCTATTAACAACAGATTGTAGAAGACCTCTTGTCTCATCGCCTATCTTGACTAATGGCCTAAGCTTTATCAGTTACCAATAGTTCATTAAAAAGGAAACTAGTGTACTGTCCACACTTGCGTAACTCATTTTGAGTGTCTAGATAACAGTTTCTTATTTTCAATATTGTTTTTTGTTTCTACATTAATTGAATAAAAAACGCTCAAGTGTTATTTAACAACTGCACGCTATTATAGCATAAATTATAATCACAAATATTACTGACGCAATGACTGCAATTATTGTTATAATGTTGTCTGACTTTATATTCAAAAGGGGAAAAATACCTCTAACACATATATACGTATCAATCCACTCACTGTGTTATCAAAATAAAGTTTCCTCCAGTGAAAGGAATAGAATTACTACCCACAATTCATCGTATTCTGCTACTGATGTGTAACGATGTTATTACAAAAAACAACTTTTTGCAAATGAATAACAGAGGTAAATAGAGAAATAGTTGTTCCAGACAAACGCTTGAATGATAACCAGACTGAACTAATATAATTTGCATTGACCATCTGAATCGCAAACATAAGAGTGAAAAAAATCATCAAAACACGAATATATATTCTAATGATGTGAGTCCGTGTTTCATCGGTAGATTGTTCGCCAGACACTCTTATGGTTGGGCGTTTGATTCCCACCTGACGCATCACTAAACTGCCGTGTAGTTGGCTTATCGATAGTAGGCTTTCAAAAGACGTGAAAGTGGGCATAAAGCTAGAAATCTCATCCCATAAAATCAAAACAAATGCTACTGAGATTTCAAGGCTTTAAGTTTGAAGCCTTATCTTTTTGTTAGTTCCTTTACATTCACAGAGGAACATTGAACCTAAAGCTACAGATCTTAAGTTTCAGAAGCAGTGGTGTTCATTTTTACGGGATTGTGTTGCTAGCCTTATGTCGTACCTTCCCTCTTTACCAGTTGTGTTACTGGCTTTTCAAGGTTTGGGGGTGCGTCGGTGGCAGGGGATGGAACTCCAAACCCCCTGCGTGGTTGGCGAGTAATCTACAGCTGTGCCACCAACGCGTTTTCACCATGGTATCCAAAAAATATTAAAATAATATCATATATTGAAGTGAATACAGGAGTTGGACAAGGCTGCCTATTATCACCGATGATATACCTAATTATGATGGTCTGGATTATACGTCATACTGTACGTTGGAAGCGAGAAGACGGGAATGCATAAGACCGGTGGGAAGACTCTAGAAGATCTTGATTTGGCGGATGATTTGTGCTAATGTCATACAAAAGCCCGAAGACTCACAGGTGAAAACAAACAGATTGGCAGATTAGGGTGTCAGCAAAGACATGACATCAAGTGAATATAAAAGAAGACGGACCCGATAAAGATAACCAATCAACATCAACAGACGCTGGCGACTTGCCCTATTCAGGTAGGTAGTTACCTGGGTTTCTAGGGAGAAGTCGTGACCACTAGGGTGGAGCAGGTCGGTTGTGAGGACAAATACTCTCTGAAGACATTGGCTAGTGGTCGCGCTATGTCGTGAATTGGCAGAAGTTTGAATTCCTGGGCCAGTGCCTTAATGGTCTACGAGCTCGCCTTATCACCAGAAGGTTCTCGGATAGAACCTTGATGGTGGATGCGTACTGATGAAGAACCCCAAATTAGGACGAAACAGCTGGCTGTCCAGTACTCCTTTCAGGTTTTCCAATGGTTCTCTAACCAATGTCAGTTCATGATGAAACCTTGTGACCAACACTTGAATATCAACAGAATAAACTTGAGAGAGATCCTTTTCTTCACTTATCTAGGCATCATCGTTTCAGCTAGAGGCGGCATCAATGAAGATATAAAGACCAGAATCAAAAGGCAAGAGAGACATTCATCACTCTCAGATCAGATTAAAAATATTCTGCACTAAGGATAAAGAAAAAAATTCGAAGTTTTGACACCAAAGTTAAGTCACTTCTTCTATTTAGTTCATAAAATTGCCTGCAGTGTCAGGAAAAGCATTAAGAACAGACAACTGCAGACTATTATCAAAAGCTGACTTCACTGCATACTACAGTGATGTTCAAGCATGCACCCCAAGTACACTAACACTTGGATATTAATAAATACGAAGTATTTCTAATGCAGCAAGCCTCATATACTACCATAAAACAATGGAGATATCAGTTTATATGCTTGACTGTGACGCCTCTTGACTAGAAGTAACTATAAAAAGGAGTGACTGTGGCAGAACAACAAGGCTCATGAGTGTGCTTTAATATTGATTATCTATATACGTTATCGTGAAGAGGAAATAAACTCATGTGGGCAGACGTGGAGCAGGGTGAAAACGCCGGCAGAGAACCGAAAGCAATGGAGACGAGCGGCCGAAGCCCTATGTTCATGTGGGAATTAAAGGAAACAATAATAATGTTAACGTGGGCGATGTATTGGCATAGCCCAAATACCCTTCCCCGATTATGAGTGAGGTCTGCTTGTACACAAATAAAATCAAAGAATTTGTGGTGCGATAGGTCGCATGAAGTCATAAAAATTCTATTTTGTATGTTTAACTTTAAAGTGTGAAGAGCAGATATGAAATCTTAATTTGTCCGAATAATTACCTCATAAAAATTTAACGTGAAATATCTAAAGAATATATTACTTATGTGATTGCATGGAAATGGGAACGCTACAATAGGCGTCATTGTTAGGATACGTCTTAAGACCAAACGTTATCACCAAAACAAATACACCTTCTTGTCATCTCTGCCAACTCCCAATTGCAATTTGAATTTCCTCAGGTAGAGCTGGTCTTATATGACTGTGTATAACATGCTTAGAGAAACGCTGTAATCGTATCAAATATTACGCCTCATACTATGCATGAAAAGATCTTGTGACTGTTTTTATCCTCATCCTGATAGCTTAAGTTATGTTGTAACTGCTGCGTGGAAAGGCATTAAAATTATCCTATTACCCAAATCAATCTTTGGTATTAATGTTAAATTTAGACCTATTGTAATCACCTCTCAGTTTTTGAAATTAATGGAGAGATTACACTTATTCAACCTTTTACCCTCTTCAAAACGTTTTAATGATCCCAAACAGCTGGCTTATATGCAGAGCAGAAGTACTTTAGATGGTGCCGCTATATTACATCATAACACTGTCACTTCCTTAGACAAAAAAGTTAAATATCTACTTTGTACCTTCCTCGACTGCACATCTGCTTTTGTATCAGTGACTAGGTGATTTTTGTTAAATAAGCTTTCTCATACGTACATCGAGTCCTGGGCTACAAATTGGTTGCATTCTTATTTCTCAAATAGAATGCAGTGTAGTGTGTATACGGATGAATCTTCCTCTGCCTTGCTTAGTGAAGCTGGTGTTTCTTAGGGTGCTGTTCTGTCTCCTCTTCCTTTTTCTTTCTGCTTACATGACTTGCCACTTTTGAATGAAATTAGCTTCGTAAAATACGCTGATGATCTGACAGTCTCGTTGCCAGTTACGTCCCTATTTGACAGTTCCAAGCTCAATAGCTTTTTATTGGACATAAATCAGTGGTCTGATCTAAATGATATTACGTTAAATCCCACAAATTGCCGGAATAATGACTCTTCATTTAGATATAAAAGTGATCTACAACGAGTGATCATTAAACACAATGCTTGCAGCATGGAAGGGACTGTAACACAAAACACCCTAGTATAGTTCTATCCTTTGGCCTTATTTGGTCATCCCATATTTCGTCGATCTCCAAGAAAATGTCCCGTCTAAGTTGACAGACATCTGAACTGAAGGTAGAAGTGGTCTAAATCCACACTGTCTGACTCTCAATACCTTCTCTATTCTCAACTCTCCCCCTGCTGTATCTCATCTGGTAGAACCATAAGTCAGTACAAAAGATTATATGCTTGTACTAACAAGTATGGGAACTCAACGATACCATATTTGGCCAGCCTGTGTTCTGTGCGATAGAGACAATGTTAGACGTGGAACGTATGAATTACTATGTTGTTAGCTAAATAATTGGCCCTTTTATTATCTCCTATTTGTAATCTGTGGCTACAGTAACTCAATTAATTGAAAATCCTAGCTACTAAACTTGTTAGTAATTATAATTCCTTTTCGTATATATATGACTTCACTATCACTACAAATAACAACTGTCATTCACAATCCTGTAGTATTATATTTTTAACGGTATTCAATATTATTTGATAAAATTAGATGCAATAGTATAACAAATGCTGAAAATTCCATACTCTAACATTAGTACTGCTTTGGAATAAAGCCAGTTATTATTAAAATTACTATTATTAAATGAACCTGTTTAGATTCCACGGTTTTTATGGTCTAATCTACCGAAATATTGGACGTCTGATAGAATCACTTTACTTTAACTGGAAACTACTCAGTAACTACTGTAATGTGTCTGGTCCTATATTTTGTTACAGACTAAATTCTGTCAGTCAGGTTTTCAGTGGGGCCACCATGCCACTAGGTGGCTCGCCATTCCGATGCAATTTGAATTGTTGGTATTACATGATTGGAGGCAATCGGTATGAAGCCTTAGACCCAGGTTTCGTGTTATTTGGCACTCGTCTGCAAAGTGTTTCTGCAACCTTGAAGGAACTCTTATCATGGCACCAAAATATATCCAATAAAGTCCTACAAGAGGTCAATTGCGATCCTGAGTAGCTCAGTGGTAACTTCTCTGACTGGGTGACGCAGGTTCGACTTTCGGAAGAGATATGACTTCCCTCGAGGTGACAGGCACACCTTGTTGACTAGTGAGTGCCGAATGCCTCCAACTATCTATTACTAACACTTTACGTTGAAATTTGAGACCTAGGTATGTTTATTGTTCTTCTCTTGGCTTATGAGTAAAACATGGGGCTTTAACAGCTCCCATTCCTTTTCAATCTGTCCTCTGGAGTCCTGTTTAGATGGGTGCACAATTTATCAAAAGCTTTAATATCATTCTCACATGATCTCCTCCATGAAGTCTTCGAACACTCTGGGGTCATGACATACGATGTCACTCACTGGGCTCCACTGTTTGTATGCACTCTACCTCCATTTTCTTAGACATATTTCCTGGGCTATACATTTTCTGTTGGTTCCCATTGGCACAGTTGCTCGTTGCTAATCTTTTTATGCATCCGAGCTTCAGTATGAAGCGAAAGTAGTTGTTAGTGAAAGTCTGTAGTCTGTTAAAAATGATTTTAGTGACATACACTCCAAATCTCTGGACTGTTAAGAAACACAAACTCGACACTAGTGTTGAAGATCAGGATCAAGTCAAATATACTGAGATCTACAGATTTCCACATTTAGTTAAGCCAATTGAAATTTAATATTACTAAATACATAAATTCTTATTTAATTGAATTTTAGATTTTCCTGTCGATTGATTGGACCGAAGTGCTTGGTCTCAGGCTGACATGTCAGCTTCTTGTGCAGATGCTTCGACGATGTCTGAGCATGTAGTTAGAATTTAATTGGTAGATGGTGACTAGCAGTGGAATCCAAGATGCTCATTTCGTCCTGTTTGTGACTCGTCATCTGGATGTACCTGCATTCTCACTAAGCTTCGAAACCAGTGCCCAAATAAGATGAAATGGGCATCCTGGATTCCATTGCTTGTCGCCGTCCGTCAACTAAATTGTAACTACATGCTCAGACATCGTCGAAGCATCTACACAAGAAGCCAATATGTCAACCTGAAACCAAGCACTTCGATCCAATCAATCGACGGGAAAATCTAAAAATCAATCGAATAATTAATATGACCCGTTGCCCAAGAAAAAGGTGACTCTCCTGGCCTAAGTGGTATAGTGAATAACGCTTTGGCCTTTGAAACTATGTACACTGGGTTCGGGCCCCGGTGGAAACATCAACACTCATTCACTATGGAATGCAGGTACCCCCAGTGACGAGTCCCGAATAGGACGAAATACTCATCCTAGACTCCACTGCTAGTCACCATCCACCAATTAAATTCCACACAAATTCTTAGTGAACAAAGGATATATTTCATTGTTTCGCTATATTGGCTTCTTTTCCAACTCAGTTTTGAGCGAAAATACACCATAATGAAAATTTTATTCATTTTATAACGTAATGATACCAGGTAAAAAGCTTTTTAGCTACGGGGAGTTCACTTCGCCGAAAGTAACTTCCCCCATCTTCTGGGGCAAATTTTACAAACAACATGATGTCTATAAAAATCATGGCTTGCAATTTAGCTGTCAGAGTACTCAGAATAGTCTACGTATACTTTCGATAGGTTACACTGGACTGATTGAGCGGATTATATTTGAGTACATTTGAATCGGGATACACAGTGATTCAACTTCCTAATGCATGTGATTAAGATTCAGTGTTTTTTAAAGTTGGACTTCACACAATTAATATAATGGTATGGCTTATTATCATT